CGAACCGGTTCGCGAACCGGTTCGGAAATTATAAATGACAAATTGCAACATCAAAATAAATTACAAATAAAACATCTGAAATCAGCACATACGAAACGGGATACATCGTAGTGTAAGGTTCAGGGATTTCTACCAGGAATGGTTTCTTTATGTGCACTCAAAGGTTACCTCACCGACGTTTACGCGTTCGGACTTCATCTAATTGGGTCCGACGCAGTAGCTGTAAAATCCGCGACCTCCTTACAAACCCACTTACAAGTAGAACTCGCTAACTATCCTGTCACCTCGGCGTGTAAGCAATTGAAGGAACACTGGGAAGAAAATACAGCTTTCTTTATTTGAACTAGCCTTCGGTAACTCAAATTAGACCCTTAAAGAAGTTTTCATTAAACAAGATACGTAATATGAAATACACTTCACCGAACGCAACGCCAGAAGGACGTAATAGGATAAATATTAAAATAGAAGAGTTCGCTGTCTCACAAATATGTTAGCTTCTAAGTGCCTATACGCACTTAAAAAACAAATGGCATTGATAGCAGATTCATTGTCAACAGCGCGTGGCCGAACCTTTTCGACATGAGCCGGTAACCGTTATTTGTTTTCCGGTTCAGTTCCGGTTCGGGTTCATCGCGATTACAATATAACGGTTCGGGTTCGGGTTCAGTTCCGGAAAAAATACCGGTTCGGTTCCGGTTCGACACCCTGGTTTTAACAAAGGTTCACACCCACATCAGCCATGTCAACTATATTATTCCAAAACTAGCTCGCGTGGTAGGGATTGTGAATCGCTACGGTTACATAATGCCAACAAACGTGAAACTCTTGATTTATAACTCCTTGTTTTACTCCCACTTAGCCTACTGCTACCTCGTTTGGGGTACATCAACGTTAACTAATATTGAAAAACTATTCATACTACAAAAGAAACTACTCAGAGGTATGGTAATGTACCTTTTGATTTTCACACTGCTGAATTATTTAAAACCTACAGGATAATTTATGTTCACAAATTGTATTCATATCGACTTTGTACCAGTTTTAAGAGTGAAATAATGAAGGGCACATGTTTCTTACAAAATCTTGCATTGTTGGAGAAAAATTGACCAGTGTATTCTACTCGTCACGCGGAGAAGTGGAAGATGGTTACTCAGCGAACCAACTATGGCTCTCAGATGCTCCAATTTACTCTTCCAAATTTGTTAAATACTTTGTGCAGTAGTAATGTTTCTCTTGGAAACTTGACTTTCAAAGACTTGAATGGATATTTTTGTACATGATGCATTATTTTCATAAAACGTTGTTTGTTTTGTTTTCTTTTTCTGTTAACAATACCTTCAGCTGCTACTGAATGTGATTTTCATCTTTGTTTCTCGGTGCTTGCCGTTGACCACTGTAAGGGAACCGAGGACCAGTCAAGCTGCATATCGCAACTTTTTTTCTCGGGCTCCCCCATCAAGATTGATGGAAATAAAGATATTATTATTATTATTATTATTATCGTTTGCAGCGCTCCGCAACGGGCCCACCCGAATTATTGCAAAAGACGGCTGCGCTCAGGTTGTTCAAAGACGTGAACCTTGAAGGAGTAAGAAAGGCTGGTAACAAGGCAGAAAATCTCTTTTTTTAGGTTTTCTTTAGCGGAAAGTCTCATAAGCCTAGCTGTCCCTTACGAGTCATTGTCTCGGAAAAGAGTGCCTGGCAGGCCCAGGTTAGCAGGTACTTGCAGCGTCACTCAAGCGCATTATGGCGAATTCGCGTGGTTCTTTCTGCGCGCTCTTGAGCGCTCTTTCCAGAGCGCGTGAAATCGGCTATAAAGTGCTTGTGCATTCGACAGTGCGAGCATTACAACGGACCGGACGACATTCGTTTGTGACCGTAACAGGAAAAGCCGAAATGTGAAGTATTCCCAGTGCTTTCACGAGATTGTTCAACTCACGGCGATGAATCCGCTAAGCCTAACCGACGACGAAACAGCTCGCAGAGCTCGCCGCTGTTTTACCGGGTTTTGTGGTCGCTTCAAGAAATTTTTACGGTTTGGTAAAAGTGCGTTGAAAGGTTTGTGCTGTAAAATAAAGGGAGAGCAGAATATAATGCACTGTGATTTCTGTCACATTGCGATGCCTGCACGATATTTCGCCGTGAGAAAAATGCGGTTAATTAACCATTTTATATTTGCCTGCTCTGTCGTACGCATGACCGCTATCGCAGCGCGTTCACTGTCGAAAACGCGATGAGTTGACAACTGTTTCCAAGCGTTGGGCTTTCGTTCCGTTCTGCAAAAATCAATCCGCACACTGCTGTTTTCTTTTTTTTTACATGCCGATGCGTAAAACGATTTACGTCAAAACCGTTATTTCATCACGTTGCGAGCGTAAATTTTGCTCAATCGTCCACCGTACGCTGTAAGATCGTGTTGTTTTTAATGCATTACCAATGTCAAGAAATTTCAATTCCGTGACTGGTCTGAGAATGTCAGAGCGCTCTGAAGCCAGCAGTTGTGATCGGCTGAAAAAGATCCCGAGTAGCTCTGGCGGCGAGGAGGGGGCGCTCTGCTGAATCGAGGTCAGAGGAGACAGGCGACCACCCGAATTCACCATGATCATTGACGATCCTTTTCCAATTCGGAGCTCCAGAGAAGTAGTTCAAGTTTCGAAAACAGGATTGCAAAATGCGGCCACAGCCTTTTTTGTGGATGTAGATGAGTTGTTTTACTCGGTTCCACATAATGTACTTTACACCGCGGTTCGTAAGAGCATAACGCAGTCAGGTGAAGTGGGGTTCCAGAATTCTACGGGTGTCAACTGCGACCGCTTTATGGCGCTGCTAGAATATTACTTGCAGTCCAGGGCCGTTGTTTTTAATGAACAGTTCTACGTACAGAAGAATGGTATTTGTATTGGTTCCTCCATGGCACCCGTTTTGTGGGACATCTATCTTTCTGTAATGGACAAGCGCATATCGGGGCCTCTTGACGGGATAAATGTGGTCAAGATTTTCCGCTGTGTGGATCATTTTTTGGTTATTTTGGGTGAATGCAAAAGCAAATTGTATGGAACATGATGTGGTGAAAATTGTTAATCTGTTTAGATCACTGTCCGGTGAACCGAACGTCACTTGGGAAATGCCTCGTGATGGCAGTATTCAGTTTCTAGACTTGCAGCTCATTTTTACTAAGGATCATTTATGCTGGAGCTATAATCCATGAACTGAGAAAGGCCTCCTTTCTTTCAGCAGCGCCCACTCAAAGCTTGTAAAACGTGGGATTGCATCCACCTGCCTTCACATAGACATTACAAAAAGCTGCCGTCATAGACTGCCGGTCAGCTTTGATCACCAGGTTGCACGCTTGACGAGTACTGGTCAAATCTGTGTGAAAGGCTCCCACTGAAAATAAAACGAGAGGGCGGTGACAGATGTCGTGAAAAGGCAGACAAGATACCAGTGCAGGTGGTTCCATATTTGCACAAAGTGTCCCACAATAAAAAAAAAAAAAAGATGGCTGTTAGACAAAGGATTAATGTAATCTTCCCAGTCTCGTGCAAACCTTCAAAGATATGCTCCGCGATGTCAAAACGAAAGTTTGTAATGTGCTAAAAAAAAAAAATGTCACAAGAAACATCGAATGCGTGACTAAGGTGTTTCATGAGATTCCGTTTAGTTGCGGCCAAGTTTACATCGGTCAGACCGGCCGATGCTTTACTGAAAGAGCGCGCGAACACAAGCTAGCCGTACGTAATAATTCGGGTGGGCATCTTGCGGAGCCCTGCAAACGATGTGAGTGTGAACCTTTGTTAGAGCACACAAGGTGTATTAAGAGAGGGAATGAGAAGATGGAAAGGAAATTAATCGAAGCTTTCTGTATACCCAAAGCAGATGACAAATGCGTAAGCATGCCATCCCTTTATCTACTAAACAAACAAATCTTGTTTCTTGAGGGTTGTGTGTAATGAGCGATAGGAACTTTTATTAGTTGCACGTGTTTAGGCGATAGGGATCAACAGTTTGACGACGTTTCGTGTTTCATTAAATCAGTTGGAAGTTGGCGCCTGTCCGAGTCGTACGCGTGTCTTTATCGTCCTGTTTTGTTCGCGGCTTTTAACATTTTAATCAATATGTACAAACTAGCCACAACCAAAGTTTTATTGATGTCGAGTTTGACAATCCGCGCTCCCTATTGGCTCACGACGATCACGTGGGCGAAATTCTCCCGCTGTTTCGCAAAAGGTTCCAGTCTTCTCGGCGGGAGCATTGTTGTTGTATGGGCAGTCGTTGTTTTTGCAGCATTTTGAGCGGCTGAAAGGGATCCAGATGCCAGGGTGCTGCGCTTTCGCGTGCAGTAACCGGCATGAGGCTGGCAAACAGCTGTTTCGTATCCCGGAAGGCGAAAAAAAACCGCATACGACGACTTTTGTGGCTGTCGCGGATCAGCAGAAAGGGCTTCACTCCCACCTCTTGTACTGGGCTGTGCGAGTTATATTATTGCGATAATTCATGCAACAGTTTAAAGAACTGAATGAGCACAAACTGCGATGTTCGTAGAATCAATTTGCCGAAGACCAGTTTTTTGGACGCCGGAACGACGGCAAAATGCAAGCTAGCCCGAAATGCCGTGACTTCGGTCTTTGCCCACAAGCCGAAGAAGCCACCACGGAGAGCTCCTCTTTCACGAGGAACCGAGAAAAATGTATAGTGTGTGCGTAGTATTATTTAAAAACTACGCGTCAATGGAATGCTACTATACAGGCTTGCCACTAGATTGCCGTGAAATTCTCTCGCCTCATTACTGTGTCATGTTTCTTACTTGCACGTACAATGCCGCATCGCTTGTCGCGCATTGACTATACGCTGGTTTTATTCCGCATCAGGATCAGCGCGTCTTGGCTTGGAGCACATAGAACGAAAGTTCGCGCTGCAGAAGCGCGAAACGGGAAGAGGTGGTGATTGAGCACAGGGATCCTGTGCTCAATCACCACCTCTTCCCGTTTCGATTTGGATGAGCATCGTAATGGCACTATTTCGTGTATCACTACTGCGTGATGCACGTTACAGACCCCTGGTAGCAGTCGTCCTGCACTGGCTAAATTGCTCATCCAATGCGGAGACCCGTCACCTCATTTCAGTGACCGGCCAACTTTACGCTGTCTAAATACTAAATATGCACACACCTGAATTAGTATCTCCGACTTGAAATCGTAGAATTAATATTCCTAAAAATCTGTGTAATCTCATTTAGTTGCTCATGGAGGCGACTGTAAGTTCCCCGGTCAGCCCGCCAGTGGACTCCCAGGTAATTTATTAATTAATGCAATCTAAGCTCACTGAATGAGACACGGGATTCAGCGATAGATGTTGGTGGTTAATTAACTAGGGCACACATTACTTGTATCTTTTCAGGTACCTATGAAGCTGGTTCAAGAGATGTCGACAAGCGATAAGGTGATCCTCTTATATCTTTTTTTGAGTCCAGGCACTTGGCTTATTTGTTTTATGAGTGCATAATTTTCAAGTTCCCCTTGGATTTGTCGGAGGCCCGCAGTGCTCTCAGTGCTCCAAACAATCTGGTAAGTGATATACCTGGAACCTTCTGTTGTATATGTTTACTTGTATGCTGATGTGTTGCTAATCATAGGAGCGATACACCAAGTAATTATCTTTTTTTCTCTTCCCACAAATAGCTTCCCACAGACGTTTCCACAAACATCGAGCAAGACACTTGCGGCAACAGTGAGGCATGTATGATAACATTGAGCTCGTACACCTTTACTAAGGGCAGTGCGAAAGGAATCATTTTAACATACGCGTATGATCGCTTACTTACCGCTGTTATCCTTAAGCACAGCAGATTCTTCTGCATGTCAACTCCAGGTAGTCTTTTTGTATGTTCAATTGCGGAAACTAGGAGTCTGGACCTTGTCAAATATTTCAGATGTTTTAACCAGGAATTAAAGAAAAAGGTGCTGGATTTGCAACGCAAACTTAAGAATGCACAAAAGCAGGTGAGTATACTGAAGCAAGAAGTACAGACACAAAAGAATGACAGGAGACATCCCGCTGAGAACCAGGCAAGAATTATAAAATATTTGAAAAGAGTCTGTACTAACGGGCTCATATATTATCAGTTCAAAGCTTATACCCTGTCTTATTCAGCAGAATTTAAGATTAATTTCTATTAATTAATGCGCAAAGCCTGGTCATACCACAAAACAGATACCATAAGTGAGCATAGGCACTCTTATTATTTTCATTTTCGAGCAAAGTTTGCTCACACTTTGCTTTCACACCATTAAAAGCTGGTTCACACGCATGCGGCTTAGAAGCGGAGAGGCTAAGAACTGGTTTTTAAGCCTTTTGTGATGACCTATGACCGGCTCCGCAGCAGCGCAGTCAGTCATAAGCCGCAGCAAGAGGCTTAAAAAACCGGTCATGTCGGAGTCGGTCCTAGTGTGTGAACGGGTCAGTATGCTTTGAGTTGCCATTTTAGTCTTATCAGCGCAATATTGCCGCGCGCCAAGTAGGCAGCGCGGCCGTGGCCTAACGGTTATCGCGCCTGCCTCCCACGCGAAGAGCCACGTTTCGATTCCCGGGAGTTACGCGTCCTTTTGTTTATTCTTGCAGTTTAATGTTCTGGTGAATTCGAGAACTTTGTCGCCTGTTCGAGGTGCGAATATTCTAGTCGCCGAACCTTCCAGGTCGATCGTTCCAGAAGCCAACGCGTGTACATATGGGGCTCCGCGTGACGATCTGCAGTCAGTCTCGCCCCAGCGCTCGAACCTGCTTTTACGTCAACTTCGACGCCCGCGACGCTTTGTTCTCATCTTCTGTTTTTCCTTTTTGTTTTGGGCACAAGTTCGCCTGATTAAACGTTTAGTTTCTTCAGTTATTCTTTGCCTCATCATTTGTCATTCGTGACAATATGAGCTGTTGGCTGTTCACCTGGCATCTCAAATTACAACAGTTTTTTTTTTCTTTTAGCAGTTGTCAGGTTTCTTAAGAAAGGCTCATATGCGTATGAACTAAAAGCTATTTTGTTTTCGTTTTAATCCTGAGCTATGCGCTACCAAGGGCACGATTAGAGGTGTGCCATGGTCGGACAGCACAGTAAAAATGGCTCTCCAGCTTCGCTTCGCTTGTGGTAGCAGAGGCTACAGTTTTATGCGAGGGCATTTGGTGCCACTCCCTAGTTAAGCGAACTCTTCAACGAAGAATAGGAGACATCAAGCCATGCCAGGGGTGGTGAAAGGAGCAGGCAGGAGCGTTATATTTCCGCGGGCTCGAGCAAGAAACTGGTCTTCCTGAGTGTATATAACTCACGCGCGTCTTTTTCTCTATTTTTCTATCATTGAGACCGGAGGCGCCTAGCGGTGCGTCCAGTCCCTACACGGGTCTTTTAATCACAGCAGCAATCGATTTTTTACTCCTCATGCAATCATATTTGGTTTAGCTATTTCTCACTACATATTATTAATCTTAAAAACAAATAATTTCAACAAAGGTTTGGTAGATTAAGTTCCACGTCACTTCTGTAACCAAAAACAATCTATCTTTATGTATCCTTAAGTATCCTGATAGAGCTCCTGCCGTAATTGCCGAAAAAGGTAGAGACTATGCACACTGAAGAGCGACATGCAGCCCTCCTCATTCAAGAAATGCAGATAACAACAGGGATATTAAGGATATCTGCTCCTTAATTTTATATACTGGTTGTCCTTCTTTCCTGCTGTACATAGATTTCTTGTAATTAGTTGAAGAACTTCTGCTTGCCATGACCCTATGCGCCTTTGGTTCATTCTTCCATGTCTTTCGTTTTTGTGGGCTTGGATTATGATCAATCATCCAAGAAAGTGCTTGGGTACTCTACGATGAAACCTGGTCCTGGTACCACACAATCCGACCCGACCTATGCCTCACACTCCCTGGTGTCCATGCCTGGGGGGGGGGGGGGGGGGGGGGGATATGTCGTCAGGATGGAAACAAGTGTTTGGCTACCAATTCACATGTATGTACACCCTCCACATGGAAGGCAGTGCTTTGATTTCAGAGTACCATACAAACTACATACTATAACAATACAAACCACTCTGCTAGAGCAAACCCCCCCGGCCACCATGAGATGCACTAAGAGATAATCATAACGCTATGTATTTTAATTATCTGCAATATTTACCGATCGGGAAACTCCGAGCATTAATCCGATTGCACAAACCCGTACCTTGGTTTATAGGAGCCAGTGGAACGTTTCTACAGCCTTTTCAAAGAAATTTCAGTTTCAGTTTATTATTTCTTTAGCAACTCACCCGACTTCACAAAAAAAAAATATTCCCTTGAGTGAGCATGTTATTATGCTAGATGGATAGAGACAATCACCCGATTCTTTTACAAACTTATATTTGACTTCCCTCAATCTAACATACAGTCAGAACACCCTATGCTTAGGCTGTTTTATTGCTATAAATCCGTTTTCTTTCTAGAGTACCTCATTCAGGTGAAGAGCTTTGTGTATACTTTTTGTGTGGTAAAAATTACAAGCCTAATAGAGTAAGAAGTGCTAATTTTATGCTTGCAGGCAGTTCGTTTAATCTGCAGAAAGTGAAGAAATTTCGCTTCAAGATCATTCAGTAGTGCAAAGAAATCGACGTAGCCATCGATGCTGTCACTTCTGACAATGGGCCCGGGGAGCCAAGCCATCTGGCGACTTTGCGGCATTACAGCATCGCAGTTTGGCCCTACAGTGGTGTCGTGCAAGCATCAATGTACTGGGGAGATAAGCCGGCAACTTCACTTCCTCGTGGATGCCCCACACCTACTCACGAATATTCGTGGTCACCTCACCAGAAAACAAAAGTTCATCTCATGTCCAAGAAAAGTAAACCTGCCATCAAACCGAGTAATTTTTTCTGCTTGGAATCACCACTAAGTTGTATAACATAAAACAATGAAGATAATTTTTAATATATTAAAACACACACTCCTGGCTAGTGCAACTACACACTTATGAAACTTCACAATGGCAACTTGAATAAACCCGAATGTTTAATCGTTGTTTCAACATGTTCAAGTTGCTACCCGTCATTACTATTAGTAACATGATGCAACCGACAACTAGCAGTGATGGAAGTGTTGCGCCATTTACGCCATATTGCACCGTGAACGAAAGATCTACATCTTGGGCCAAAATGACATTTTCGCCCGAAATTGCGCCCCACTTGCGCAAAAATAAGCTCAAAGCAAAAAAAAAAAATAAAAAAAATTAATATTGGTTTATTTTAATATGCAAAGAAGTAGAGGGAAAGAAAAACGGTACAGAAATCAATTTCACGGCGTCTCTACTCACCATATAGTTTGTTTCATCTTAGGTCAGAGCACAGTCGAAGGCTCGAACGCATACAACCTCGAACACATATAGTAAAAGCACAAGTCACGGGACATTCACTGCACTTGATTGGTTTACCTGATGAAAGAGCACATACAGGGAGATGACGAATGCCATGATGTCGCACTTTAATGCTGTTCGACTGGTCTCATTGGCTCGTAGAGTCGGCTGTAGCGTCGACTTCAGGTGAGACGAAGTTTGGCACTGCTGGCGTCAACCTTCACATCTCAACAGCGTGCATGCGACGAGCTTCACCGCTTTGCACCGGAGTGCTAGAGGCAGCGGCTGACCTGGGGACCTAATCGACATTTGGCGAAAAAGTCGGCGAGAAATCTGGCGGCCGTGATTGGCCAACGCCGCACTTGACCTTGGCACCGGCCGTTGTCTCGCGGATTTTTTCACCAAATGTCCAGGTTATGGCCCCTGGGGGAGGGCTAGCGCGATAGGCACGGAATTTATGCTCAGGATTATTACAGGTCGATCTTCTTTCCAATTAATATATAACCAAACAAAAAAGTTGAGTCGAGAAAGAGAGAGAATAAAAAGACACGGTTCTATATTTGAATAAATACGGTAGTCCCTGTAGATGCCGTGCAGCTGTCGATCGAAAGAGCAGCGAACTTTGACTTAACTCTGGTTCCAACGCTGCTAAAGAGCAGTGCACCCTTTAAAACACAGGTGTAGGTTTTCCTAATCCTTGTAGGTGATTGTTTTTGGAGCTTATGATATTAGAGTCTCGAGTTTGGTAGGTTCATAAAACTTGGGGGACGGGTTTTTATCGATATACGTGTAGCGGATATGCTAGTTCTTCCTGGCATTTTACAGAAATTATTTTTACAGGAGAGAGAGAGAGAGAGAGAGAGATGGCGTTTAAGAAAGGGGAAATCGTCGGTCATTGTGCGCCCGTGCGGCGTTGTGCCGCCGTCAATATACTTACAGGATAAATAAACTACTGAGTGTAAACTAGGAAGGGGAAAGAGGCTTTATCCCAACTGAAGGGTTGCGCTATGGTTTATTTTTCGACCATTTTTATTACCAATTGTAAACAGAACCTACTCTGACCAGAGCGGTATTTCTAAAAAGAAGGCTCTGTGTTCCTTTTGCCTCCTATCTATTTTTGTCACAAAAAGTTATAAGTAATATGCTTCAGTACAAAGAGGAACTGTCAATCATTATCGTAGATGAACAAATTTAGATATGCAATCACTTTTTAATATTCAAGTGATGTCCTAAGAGATGTTCGCATCTGCTCCAAAAGCGTCAGCGGCTCCTCCAAACCAATACTTTGCATGCCTCAAAGCCTGCTAGAGAAGATGAAATGTTGAATCTTTGACACATCATTTTTGATTACTAAATGTTATGCTATCATCCACCCTATCCTGATATGATGTGCAGGCGGGCTTTAAGAGATCATTAAAATTAAATGGTATGCGCAGCTAATCTATAGAATTTTACATATTTACAGGTTCCACTGGAGCATGTGCAGAAGCTCGAGTCGATCAACTCTCAGCACGACCTCAAACTGGCTCCACACATCAAGGAGAAGCACCTGAATTCATTGTATTTTGACAAGATGGATGTGGGATCTGCTTATACTTTCTTGAACCATGCAGTTGGTGCCGCCATTAAGTATCTTGTACAAGAAGGAATAATAGGCGAGGAAACTTTAACAAGAGCCTGGTTCCTGGAGCTAGTTTTCAAATGGTTTTCGCTGATGACCTCGCGCACCATAAAACTGGCAGTGAGTGAGCTCAATCCTAAAAAGCACGAAGAAGCGGTCACTCTCCTCGAAAAAGTTGGGTACATCTTTTCGAGGCTGTCGTTTTACAAAGCAAGGATAGAGGGAGTGCTTCAAACCGTGTCAGGCTGGCATGATAGTCACAGCGAAGTCTGCCCTCAAGCTTCAACAGCTCTAAATCTAAGAAAAGGAATGAAAGTTTATTTTCATGATTCGTACGACACAGGACGGTCGGGAAAATCTCTTCAACTTAATTCGCAAAAAAAAAAAAAAAGAAAAGAAACTGTCTCGAGCCCTGGACTTCAAAATCTCCCTTCGACTAATAACATTCAGCCAGTTCGTTGTTCCATGCAAGTCTGGAAGCTATGATGAAGACCCCACAGAACATCTCAGCTACATGACAATAAAGCCACCACAGCAGAAGAGCGCAATCGATGAAGATTCCGAGCTTCCTGACTGTCTCTTAAATTCAATCTCTGAGGAAAAAGCGTCCCTGAACTAAGAGCTGCAGGGCAGGGATGAGCAGTATTTCAAATACAAGTATTTGAAATACGTATTTCAAATACTTTGTGTATTTTGCATGTGTATTTAATTACAAATTGGGTAATGTATTTGACGTAAGTATTTAAATACTAAAACGTGGGTATTTCAAAAACAATTGTAATTAAATACAATTTTGTGGGCGAAAATACATCCCTCAAATTTATTGTCACTGTCCAGAGCAGGAAGAAAACTACGTCCTGCACCGAATGCAGTGTCTCTCAATCAAGCACAAGCGTTTGGTGACTTTGCGATTACGGTGCTAGTCCAGGGCAAGAATAGTGACGAAATCGACGTTCACAGGCAGACTGGCTAAATAAGTGCCTGTGACAACTTGCGATGCTTTCCAGCCTGATTTCCCTCCATATTTTTGCCTGGAACATTCTAAATGCGCGGGTCGTCCAAATTTTTGTAACTGGTGCGAGTTGCAACAATAAAAAAATTCTCTAGCTAGCGCTGCGCGTCTTGGTCGTCTCGGTTCTTTGTTGGTCTATGCCAAAATGTAATCGACAAAAGAAGCTGCTTGAAGCTCTGTACTTTTTTCACCTATTACGTCCAAGCTGCTTAAATTTTTTTTGTAATTATATTTCTATTACGTTACTAGAGCCTCGCACACTAACTCCCGAGTGTGCAATGCAAAATTATAATGAGATACCCAGAAACCCGTTGCAGGTGCCCTGAAGTCGATGACGCAGATTTTGAGGAATGTATTTGGAAAAGTATTCGGAGGAGACCAAATACTGTATTAAAGGGGTAGTGAAACGAAATTTTAGCGCCGATCTTGTTGCATAAATATGGGCTAGGGACAGGCACCACCTCGGAAATATAAATATTGCGCTGTAAAACACAGGAGAACTAATTTTAAACATAATTAAACGATTTCAAATTCTCATCTGGTGGATGGGGGGAAGTTCTCGTGACATCACTTGTGCCAAAATAGCAGCGCCGTTCTGCGGCAATACGGCGTGCCGGCAGAATTCGCCTAGGCCTGAACGCGTTCGCAAAGCCTTGGCGGAGAAAGCCAAAGCGTAGTTGGCCACAGTGAGCTCGTTCTCGTTGCGGCTCTTTGCACGACACGGCCCGAGCATGTTTCTGGCACGGCCGGTATTAGTTGCTGCGAGTCGCGAGCTGCAAGCCGACGTTAAAAAGGATATGTTTGAACTACGAGAGTGTCAGCAAGAGCCACGCAAATGCCAAATACCTGTTCACACTCGGAGCGGACACGCGCGTTTGATCGAAGTGCTGGATTCGCTCTGTTAGACCGCGTTTCGGTAAGCGCTTCTGGACCGATCTTTTACGATTGCAACTCGATACTGACATGACACTCGGCAAAGAAAGGTTAGACCGACATCGCGTAGCTCCCACGAACTGCTATAGCTCGACACTGACGTAGCGTCGAGTCAGAATAAAAATGGCATACTAATAACAGAGTGTACATACCGAGTTGCCAAGGTAATCCGTATGGCGTTTATTTGAGCTCTATATCACACAAAACAAGGAGATAGAATCAATGAGAGTCCCTTTTCGACGACAGCGTTCGTCACCGCTGTCTCGGAAAACAAGGAGATCGAGATGACAAGGGGAAAATATTGACCTCTGAAATTTAGTTCAGGGATCAAACTACTCATCCGGTAAGGGTCAACAAGGGTCGCGCGGGCATATTCCATTCAGCACGCCAGCCGGTCATGGACAGACGGTCTTGGCCAAGGACCGCCGGAGCAACGGTGCGCCGAGTCGATGTTGCTGCTAGGCCTACTATATTCTGCCGAGCTCGCTCGGTCGGCAGAATCGTGGCTGTTGTAGCTCTTCTCGTGTGTTTGTGGATCCTGCGTTCTTGATCGTCGTGGTCTGTTTTAAGTACTCCTTCCTTTTTTCTTGCTGGTTGAAGTCGGGACGCACGAGAAGAGCACGAAGAAAAATAAATGTCCGTTGGTGGCCGATACCAAGTAACTGAGCGACGCTGTCGGCCTTGTTGATTTGATCGTAAAAAGTGCGTAAGACAGCTTCGGAGCTGTCGTAGGATTCTGTCGTAACCTGCGCAAAGGTTACGACAATTTCGTTTCGAGAGCACGGGGTTTCTCTCAAATTTGTCGTACGCACTTTTTTCGTCGTGAATTCGCTTTGAGAATCCGGCCTCAGAGCTGGTTTTGTCAGTGCTGCCGTGGTTGCCGACTTGCCGTGGTCCCGTGGTGCAGCGTGCGTGCAGCCCTTGCACATCTCAAACGGCCACGTTGTCACAGGTCGTAAGTCGTCGACGCGCCACCAAGTGGCAACGCTGGTAACCACAACATTCACGCCGTTCACGCCGTAGCCTTTCCCGACCGGCACAAGTGACGTCACGAATGCGCCCAATATCCCAAGACGCATCGCGCTCTCCGATGGCCGATTTTTGAGCGCGCGCCCAATCGGGCCCATCAGGGTGAAAAATATAGCCATCCGTTCAAAATACAAACGCGCGATTATGATTTATGAATATCATTGATCATATTGAACCTATTTCTGACCATAATAGATGTATCTCAAGTTTCGCTTCAGTATCCCTGAAGCGAAAAAAACGCGAAACAGATGCACGACGAAACCGTCCGATCGGACGTCCGAGCAGGCAATACGACGGTCGAAGGCGAGGGTTTTCAACGCTCTCCGATGCTACGAAAACCCTCGTACCCCAAGGTCCTTCGGCAGTCCGCACGTCGGATCGGAAGGTTTCGTCATACATATGTTTCGCGCTTTAGCCGCACCACGTTTTCCGGTGCATCGCACGTGGAGGTCTTTCGACGCATTCAGTGAACGCAAAGGTCGTGCCCGCTGTCTTCGGTGTTGTGGAAGAAGTTACGAGACGGAAGAAACATCCAAACCGAAGCGTTTAGGGCTCCAGGCCGGGCCGCCGGGTCACTCTGGACCAGAGGCGACGTGTGTGCGCACGCTTTGAGGAAGCCTCCGCGCTTCGCCGCGCCAGACCTCGCCGATCGCGACCGGACCAACCGGACCCCGAGTCCGACAGGCTCCTGCATAGCTAGGAACGGCACCGAGGTAGGAGCTGCTCGTTCTGCGCTACCATCCAGTGCTCTACAGTGCTCGGAGCTCTCGGTGTCGTTCGTGCTTGCGCCGAAGCCTTTGGGACCCGTTCGGACGCGCAAGTCGTACTTCGCAAGGCTTGGACTGGGGCCACCCTCACGGAGCAGCTCCGCTATATTCCGCTTACTTATGATGGCAATAAAGGCTCGCGTTTTTTCTCGGGAAAAAATTGCGGGCGACCATACGGGACCGCTCTCCGCGCCGTCGACGAGGTTGGCCGCCGCTATGTTCTCAGCTGTTCACTCACACCCTCAGCGAGCGCCTTCCCATAATCCTCCCCGCTCCAAAATGCGATGCGACCTCCGTTTACATGGGCTGAATAAATGCACACTCGCCATCTCGATCCACCTCTGTCTAGCGTCTTGAATGCGACGCGCTTTCTTTGCACATTATGCCGTTTACATGACCGCATTGAATGCGACAACTGGATTTAATGCGACTAAGTCGCATTCATGTAAACGCGGCTCCTGAGAGCTGCGAGAATGGCTTTTTATTGTTCGGTAGTTAAAAAGAGGATATTGGAGAGGGGTGTGGGCTTCCAAAGCCATCGCAAAGTGGGCCCTTTGTCCCATTCGTACCAGATAAAAAAAGAAAAAACAAACAAACAAACGAACGTTTTAATATAAGTTTAGAAAGAGTTATATACATAAAGACACCCTATTGAAAATTCCATCAAGATACGCAATTTGGGACACTGACTGCCAGTCAGCACCCTTGGTGGAACGTGATGGACCATCAGACGTCATCTGATGGTCCATCAGATGACGTCTGACTGCCACTGCCAAGGGAATTTCATCAAGGGCAGCATTTATATAAGAGTAAAGCTATACGCACTTATAAATATCGCTAAATGCCTCCATAAAACAAAATGTTCCAGAAAAAAAAAGCAAGACCACCGCGGATCCAACCCGCGACCACTTGCGTACAAATCGGACACCTTAACCCTTATGCTATGCCACCGCTTTGAAAACTCGATTTGACCATTCGTTTTATACGAGATGCTTCGGCTGTAAATGCAGTTAAGCCTTCAGCATGTTATGAAAAGCACTCGTAACTTCCTACAGAATCGCAGTGCCCAGCCCACAGCCCTACAGAATCGCGGGGCCCGTTTTATATTTACTATCATCGCACATCTAGTGTCTCAACTATGAAAACTAATTTATCACTTCCTGCTCTTTCATTACGCCGAAAAATATCTCGTTTGTGTCTTTTTTATAAAATTTATCATTCCAATACTTCGCTAAAAAACAAACTAATATTAAATCCTGTTTTCATCTCGCCGCGCGTAGATCATCAATTTAAAGTCGGAATTCTTCATTGCATTACCTCAGCCTATTATAACTCTTTTATTCCAAGGACATCTTCAGAGTGGAATCGCCTTCCCGCGGAATTAGTAAACATACCGTCCTTTGACTTGTATAAAAGTGCGTTGACTACTTACCTATGTTAATATTTTTCTTTGTTTGTTTGCCTTGTTCTATACATTTCTTAAGTTGTTTACACTTTTTTTTTTACGTTTTTCGTGCTTGGCTTTTAGTGTTTGTATATTGTTTTGTGTTCCAAATTTGTCTTGTACCACTCCCCTCTGTAATGCCTCAGGGCCTTGAGGGTACTTAGATAAATAAATAAATAAATCACGCGCCGTACTTCAGTTCTACTCACCTGCCATGTAGAGTACTTTCGCGCCGTAGAACAATCCTTTTGTTCGCGCGTCTCCGGCCCAGTAGACCTGGTACACCTATAGTCGTCTTCAACTACACCGCTAAAGTCCCT